CACAGAGATCCGGAAGGTATATGCCAGGCAAAGGGAACAGCTCGCACAGAGATCCGGAAGGTATATGCCAGGCAAAGGGAACAGCTCGCATTAAGGCCAGGACGAGGAGCAGCATGAGGGGTGAAGAGGCCAGTGTGGTCCACAGAGGACAGCAAAAAATGACAGGAGACATGGCCGGAGACGGAGTGGGGGGCCAAAGCACAGGACGGCGGGTCAGCCTGAGTGTGATGGATGCCAGCATGGGGTCTTGAGCGAATACAGAGGACAGAAGAAGGCTCGATGGCGAGTGGTGGTGTTGGGAGAACAGTTCTGAATATCCCACGGACGGCCAAACGGACAAACAGGTCTGTCTCAGAGGAAATGCAACCAGAGTGCTTCTTAGAGGCTACGGTGTGTAAAACCTGGCCTCACATACTCTGGGCGATTAACAATGCCTAACAACAACAAGTGGCACAGCTGGTGCTGTTTTTAAATGACCACTCCTGAGACTGGAAGGCGGATTACAGGGACGAGAGGAGGTCCAGCTGGAAGGGCCCCAGCGGTGGTGGCGGCTGGGCTTGGGTGGTGGGAGTGGTAAGAAGCAGACGTGTTTTTGGGCTCGCTGGACTAGACCTAGGGGGTTAGGCATGTTGGTGACTGATTCTTCGTGATGTGACTGAATGCTTGTGGGTTCCACTTTCACCACGGGGCCTCGGGCCCGGTCAGCTCTATAAAGCAAGTTGTGTTAATAAAGCTACAAAGCTCTATAAAGCTCTAAGCAAGTTGTGTCAATCTGCAAAGAACAGTAAGAAGGAAAAGATATCGCTTTCTCCTTTATAGGGGCAGAAAAAGAAATGAACTCTGAAAATGACATGAAAAAAAGATTCCTATTTATTGCTTTCGTACCTGGATGTTCTTTGAATGAAAGCCTCCTTTGATGTGTTTCAAGAGGGTATGTGGCAATGCGAATGAAGGATCATGTATACAAACTTGGCTGTTGTTGCTGTTAATGTGCCGTCGAGTCCCCTGAGACTCCTAGTGAACCCGTGTATAAAAGCCCCAAACTCTGCTCTACGCTGTGCCAATCTTACTGTCTCTGACACACTTACCCACCACCTCAGTCACTGAATCAATCCATCTCATTAAGAGTCTTCCTCTCCTGTGCTGCCCCTCCACACTCCCAAACTTGTAAGCAAACCAAAAGAAAATAAAAATTTATATACATATACATACACACATAAATATGTATAAGTATATATGTATGTATATATGTGTATATACATTTAAGTATATGCCTACATATGTGTATATATATGTGTGTAGATATGTGTATATGCATGTATGTATGTATATATAAGTATGTGTGTGTATAGCTATAAAAGCACGCATGTGGAGAGCAGCGTAGGGCACTGCCTTGTGTATCAACAAAATACCAGATTCTTGCAAGGCAAAATGACCACCCAGAGCTGACTTCATTTCCGCCACAAACACCGCAAGGCACAGAAAAAAAACCCCAACCACCTGGTCCTGTGCCAGAAGCGAGGCTTTCTCAAGGTCAAGTACATAACCACATGTGGTGTGTGCAAGCACCCCAGTGGATCACTGGGCTGAACTGCCCCTATAACGGTGGCCTGAGCGGAGAGCTGCCTGGTCCGTCGGTCATTCTCACAAGCTTGCCAGGGGCCTCACCACACGGCCCACAGGTCTGTAAGGAAGGAACACAGGACCATTTAAAAGCTGAGCCACCGCGTCTGCAGCTCCAGGGGTCTCCATCTTTCCTCACCCAGACAACTTCAGGATGGGAGGCCCGGATTCCCACCAGGTGGACACAGTCAGCGCCGACAATGCCCATGTCCTGGGAGATCAAGTCCAGCATTTCACAAATGCACACAAATTAAAAAATCCAATCCAGGCAGTGGTGGCTTTTGATCACCATTGAGTCAAGCACAACTCATCGCGACCCGATGAACAAAAGGCCTGAAGCCCCTCTACAACTATTGTCATTTCTCAAAGTTCATAGAGTTTCTGGAGGCCTGTTGTTTAGGAAGTGGATGCCACTTCTGCTTCCAGTCATTTTTTGGGATCAAATGACTTTACAGTTACTTTTAACTTTCAAAGCCATAACTGTCTTCAAAATAAATATCAGTATTAGACAGAAAGCGATGCTACCAAGCCAAAGGTGGGTGACTTTTAATCCGCGGCCCTCAGGCCTGTCTTCGGCCCTGTCTTTCATTGTTTTTGCTTGGACATTTCTCTAGGTCGTATAGCGCTGGTGTACAAGTTGCCGTACAGCGTACAGCGGTTCACTTGTGGTTGCTGTGAGGCTGAACA